GGGGCGGGCAGGGGCACAGGTGGGCTTGGCTGCAGCAGTGAAGCAGGGAGGGGCGTGGGAGAATGAGAGACATTTGTATGGGCCCTGCCCACAAACAAAATTCTAGAAGCCTGCTGCCCACACAAGTGGCTTGAAAGAGGCCATTCATTGGGTGTGTTTGAGAAAGTGTGTCCAGCATCCCCAAGGATCCTTTTGGCAACCAGCTGTTCTGCTGGAACATGGCAAATTCCCTTTGTCCAGGGAGAAGCCTACAGACTCCTTCTGCCATTCTGCTGTGGAGGTGAGAGGCCTAGGGAGGATAGGTGGCCACGGTCACCACGGGTGGGTTGCCTGTGGCTTTGCCAGCAACCGAAAACCCACTTTACCCAGAAGCTGCTGCCCTTGCCTGATCTGGTCCTACCTGCCTCGAGGTCCTCACCGCCTACCTGGCCCTCCTTACTTCTGCTCTCAGCCACTTTGGGTTGCCCGCCTCTAGGCCCTTGTCAGGCAGTTCTTCCGATGCGAGCATTCTTCCTCCTATCTGAGGTTGGATTCTTACTTCGAAGTCTAGTTCAAGTAGCCTCTCCCTCCATGATCATCCTCAGATCATTGCCAGAGTAAAGGAAAACTCCCTGCGTCTGCCCTGAGACTTTCTGGAACTCTGGTTTACTCCTCTCCAGCCCCCCCACCCCCGACTGACCTCTTGACCTTCATAATGACACTCGAGCCACGACCAGCAGGGTGAGTCCATAGCGTGGGGTGGGGGTTGGGGGGCAGCCCCAGCCCCCTCACCCTCCCTGCTGCCCCTCCTCGAATTGATCCTCAATAACGGTTTGCACCACCCTGTGCTCGTGCTCGGCTGCTAACCGAAAGGTTGGAGGTTTAAATCCACCCAGAGGCTCCACGAAGAAAAGGCTTGCTGATCTATTATCAAAAAATCAGCCACCGAAAGCCCTGTGGAGCACAGTTCTACTCTGACACACGCGAGGTCGCCATGAGTCGGAATTGACCCTCCCCACAGCCCCTGTGCACTCAGACCTACTCACGCTTCCACGGGTGGCTCAAGCCCCCCAGGGTCCTCCTGCTCCCCACCCACAGGCCTCTCCTGGTTCCCCTGTTCTCTGAGAAGAGAAGCCGAGAGCTTTGGGAGCACATGAGGCCTGCTCGAATCCCTGCAAGTGAGCAGGCTCGCCCTCAGCCCAAGACTCGCTGACCCACCAATCCACTCACCTGGAGGCTGACTTGTCCTCAGAACGACTCTGTCAGGGTTGAGAGATCAACCCGTTTTACAGATGCCCCACAGACGCCTGCTACCCCTCCACAGCCATTCGCAGGGGGGTTGTGCACCCCAACTCTCTGCTCCCGTGCGGGGCCCCACTCCATCCTGCCCTCCAGAGCCATGATCACTGGCTTCCAGAACCCCAAGTCCTCCAGGGCTCCTCACTGCCAGGCCCCATAAGGTTGGGGCAGTGACGCTCTTCATGGTCTGGCCCCATTTTCTCTTGTGCCCCATCTCAGGCCATTCTCCTGCTTGCTGGTCTCCAAACCAGCCTGGATTGTCTATAAACCTGCAGGACTGAGCAAGCTGCCTTCTGCCTCTTCCCCATTCCCCTGCACCACACACTCCCACACGTTCTTCAGGCCCAGCTCCCCTGCGGAGCCTCCTCACTCTGCTGTCTGGGTTCAGCTCTCGCCTCCTCTGTGGGTTGTTCAGGTCTTTGGTTTGGCTCTAAGGCACTTAGCTTATGGTAGCCTGTGTGTTTTAGCCTGGAGGTCTCCGTCCTCCCCTAACGAGTAAGTTCCTTGAGGGCAGGCCCCTTGGTGTATTCATTTCTGTGCTGCCAGAGCCTTACCACAGAGCCTGGCACTCACTAGAGCCCCACACATTTGACGAAAGAGTGAATCGATGAACGAATTAATAATGAACGAATGAAGCTATTTGCCCCCAGGTCACAGTGCTAAGTTACGGAATGAAGGAATGAACCATTAGGGACCAGATCTGCTTGCCAGCCTCTGCCTCCCTCCACATCTTGCCACTGTCCCCAGCACCAGCTCAATGGCAGGAACACGGTAACCCCCAGATGGCCCATACCATCCCCAGCCCTCCCATCTGGTCCCGTTAGGGCCTGAACTGCCTGCCTCTCCTCGGGCAAAAAGGCCCCCTTGACAAGTTGCAGTGTAAAGTCAAGCAAATTGAAATCGCCTGGATTCAAATAACCCATTCAAACCAATTGTTTACTACTCCCCCGAAAGCAGGATATTTCCTGGACTTGACTCTGCTCAGGCAGGTGAAGCCTGTGGAAGAAAATAGCTGCCCGTTTGCATTTTATGGAAATGATGGATGCCTCAGCAAGGTTACTTCCCCGGGAGTTATACCTCCCCTGCAGTTGGACTATATTTATGTCATGGGGGCAGTGAGAGCGGCAGAGTGGAGCTGGGCTCTTTGGAAACTCTGAGGTGCCTCAGCAGCTGCTGGGGGGCACAGGGACCGCCAGAGGAGCACCCCCGAGGAGACTGAGGCTTCTCCTTACCGTTGAAGCTTTTCTGCAGAGGAGGCTAGGTGGCCTTGAATTTCCGGGGAGCATTTCCACCGGAGCCTCCTGGGGGCCGGGAGCTCGCTGACAGAGTCGGCTCGGACCAGCTTCTGGGTGCTTTTCTTCCTGCAGGCACAGAGGGGACACCCTGGGGCCCTGCAAGCTGAGAGGCGGTGGTCTCTGCCATCACTGTAACTGTCGGTGTATGTAACCATGGAGTTGCACTGGGTGTGAGCTGCCCCAAGCCGTTACACACAAGAAACGTGCTCAGAGAGGCCGCCGGAATGAGCGAGCAGCAGAGCCCCGTCTGAATCTAGGGCCTGTTCTGTCTTTCTCTTTCTTCCTCCTAGCCCATGTTATACCATTAGCACTTAAACAATCCGTAGAGAAGTATTTAAGAAGCAAACGGTGTTGTTCTGTCTACAAGGGTTGTTTTCCCCCTGCCAATGGCTGAGATCTTTTGCAAGTAGATGGCCAGGCCTTTCTTCTGAAGAGCCTCTGGGTGGATTTCAGCCACCAACCTTTTAGTTAGCAGTCGAGTGCTTATCTGTTTGTGCCACCCAGGGACTCCTGGCTTGAGTTTCAGTGATCCTGAAGAGTGGAGGAGATTTAGAACTTGGAGGCAGGGAGGGTATTCTAGGAGATAATGAGCAACATGGTGACTGCAGGAAGAAACGGGGTGTCTAAGGGACAGGGAAGCCCTCACAGTCCGGCTAGCTCTGAAGCTAGAAGGAGACCCAGCCTGAGGAGGGCAAAGGGGGCCCAACTCAGAGACCTCACCTCTGTGCTGGGTCATCAGCTGCCAGGGCCCTGGCCCAGGACAAGCAATAGGTATTGAAGGGGGCATTCCTGGACTAAAGCAGACATTCCTTTTTGCTGAAATTCTTTGCCAAGCCTCTGCCTAAGTGCCCAAATCTGCGGCCCAGTTGGCCCCTGCTCGCCCTGACTGACAGAGCACATGGTGTCACATTAAGCTGGTTTTCAAATTCACCTTTTGCTAGGAGATTTTCTAGACTAACGCAGCCCCCCAGTGGCCACCTGAATCCCTGGCCCAGCAGGGCTCTGCCCGTGGCTGCTCCAGAAGGGCCCTGCCCTCCAGACTTACATGTGCTTGAGCAGGTGCTCCGTGCACTGCACCAGGATGATGCCGTCAAAAGGCGAGTGCTCACACACCACGCCACAGACCCCGTCCCTGCCCACCACGAACTGCAGAGAGAAAGAGGGCAGTGACAGGACAGCTGGGTGGTCAGCATTCCAAACCAGCCCCTTGGCTCCGGACCAGGTCTGCTCCCAGGACACCAAAAAAATCATCTCCTGAAAAGAAGGCTGTGTACAATCACTGCAGCCTGAGACTACGGGAGTCTCAAAGCAGCTCTAAACTGTGCAACCTCCTTCCAATCAATGTTCTGGGTAGCGAAGGTGAAGCCCAACATTCCCCAATGGAAACGGTCTAGTGACTCTTGATGAGCTCAAGCCGAATCTACACACACCGCTCTCAGGTTGTGGACAAGCTCCTCAGGCTTCCTGTAGCCCTATTTCCCCTCCATGGGGCCACTGCAGCCACACTTTTGGCTTTCCTCGTGTGAGTATTCGTTTGATGGACCCTGTTGGTTTTGGCCACTGTTGATCATATTCCCAGAATCTACACAACTGTCCACCCCATAGTAGGTGCACCACAGCTTTGTTTAACAAATGAATGAAAGAGAACTACTCAATTTGGATGGCATGCAGATTCCTGGGAAGAAACAAAATACCCCTCAGCGTGGGTAAAGGAAAGGTGTACTAAGGACACTCCTTAACTTGATGCCTGTGCCTGGGACCAGGATTCTAGTTCTGCCGCTGCCTCCTGACAGCTGTGTGACCTTCAAGATGCTTCAACTCTCTAGACTTCTGTTTGCTCTCCTTTAAAATGGGTCTACTAATGCCCAGCTCACAGGACTGATATGAGGAGATAATGTATATGAAGGATGTATATGAACTGTCAAGGTTAGTTATGACTTTCTATGACCTCTTTACAAAGCCTGTGTTGAGCTGACTTGGAAAAGAAACATACACAGTGCACAGAAGTACTGGCAGAAAATAATAAGGACAAGTTTTGGTTCTTAAAGTGTAACCCAAATAAAGCTGGGCTGCCTTGTGGCCCATCTCAGCACAGCATCACACTCAAGAGATCCTTCCAGTATCCATAAACAAACAAATGAGCCTGGAAATCTTTCCTGAAATCTCCCCCAAGGCACAGAGGGCCAATCACAATACACAGCACACACCCTGACCTGCCTTTCTCCACAGCTTTTCCCCAGTTTCCCGCAGAGGGTGGCAGTTGTCCAAATCTTCAGTCCCATTCTTCAAACGGGCAAACACGTAAACCTCCCACAAACTTTCTCTTAAAACTCATCCCTTGCAGGTGCTTCTCTCTGTCCCCTGCTTCTCCTGTACTAAGACTAGCTCTCGATCCTTTCAAACTCAGGTCCATACAGCCTCTTTAGCTTCTCAACTCGCCTGTTAATCTATGCAGCCTAGGAAAAGATGCAGGAGGTAGGCACCTGTGAGCAGTACCAAGAGGTCCCTCGCCCAGGTGTGCTTGGGGGGCTGTGTCCACCCTCTTGTTACTACTTTCTGTCCCTGTCACTAAAAGAAAGGAGGAGGTGGAAATGGTGCCTTTAACTGCGACCAAGGTTTACTCTGTTCCAGGTCCTGAGCATCCATTATTTTATTTCATTTCCACAGCTGCTCCATGAAAGATTACAAGCCATTAGCACCAGACGGAGGCTAAAACAGCCAGCCCAGCAGCAAGAGAACTCATTAGAAATAACAGAATCAATATGTAAATGAATAAAGAGGATCTCCTGCAGAATGGAAGGGACAGAGAAGGAGAAAAAATGAGATGTTGCCTAGAAATGCTCATAAGTGTGAGCTGTTAACCCAAAGTATTGAGATCGTTTGCCCATTAATCTGGTCATCATGAAAGTGTGGTGGCTTTACAAATGAATGAGATTAGATTCAGAACTCGCAAGTTGGGGGGAAAGGTGGAGGAACAGGGAGGAAGGCCCGACTTCACCTTCATCTCCATCTGCACGGTTATTTCTCTCTAGACCAAACAGATGTGTGAGGCAGCTTGTTTCTAGTCTGATGTCATGGGAATGAAAAAAACAGAAATGGTTTTATTTTGTGTTATGGCTTTTCTTCCATGGAGATGCTGGGCTGCTCCTTCCTCACAGGGGCTGAGGGAGGTGTGCTGAAATGGCCAGGCCAGGGTGGTGGACGTGCAAAAAAGCCAACATCTCTGTGCATCAAACGTGATTTTTGCTGAATGTGTTGGGGGCTCGTTGCGGAGGGGCTGCTGGGCTTGATGACCCCTGACATGACCCCCATTGCGGTGTGTCGGGCATGGGCCCCAGGTCTGACTACAGGCTGCAAGGAGTTTAGGGTAGTTTGAGTTTAGCTTAGCCCCTTGCGCCCAGAGAATCCTGGCCAGTGAGGACGCTGACTTAGTAGAGCATCTCTGTACCTTTAGCTCCCTAGCCCTGGCAGTCCAGCATCCTGGGTGGCCGAGGACAGCGAGGGCCCCGGCAGTCCAGCACCCTGGGTGGCCGAGGCCAGCGAGAGCCCTGGCAGTCCAGCATCCTGGGTAGCCGAGGCCAGCAAGAGCCCCCGCCAGACACGACACTGTTGTTGGGACTGGCTGTGTCGTCCACTGGGAGGCCATGCTCATGCAGCACTTACCTGCAGGGACTTGTCGTACCAGCGATTCGCCCCATTCTTGCTGCAGCCTCCGCCATGGAGGAGCTGAAGGGCCATGTTGCGGTCGCTGAGCTCCACACCCCCTGGGGTGTCCAGGCACACCAGGCAGATGCAGCGCTCAATCATGTCCAGTGAGTCTCGGTTGGTGGAGTCTGGGGGGAAGGACAGGCAGGAGCTGAGCACCTGCCCTGCCTTGGGCCTGGGGTCTCCTTCCGGAGCCCCACATGCTCCAGGGCCAATGCTCCCCATCTTCCCTGCACACGCATATCCACCTCTAGAGCCAGGCCTGACCCCCAGCCCCAGTGCGTGGGTGCTGAGTGTGCCCACTGTCCTGAGCCTCTCCCTGGCCACAATGGCTCAGCTCACCCTCGGTGTCCCTGCAGGAGCCCCCCAGATTGTGGGGTCATGGTTCCTGCCTGTCAGGACCACGTAGACTCATGCAGGGGTAGCTACAAAGGCCTTCTCCATGGTCGCTTGGACCTCTAGGTAACCCCCCTCCGTGGATGGGGCTCAAATTCCCCATTCAGCACCACCCGCATCTTGGCATCTCTGGTTCAGAGACAGTTTTATTTGTCCTGAATGATGGTTTTCAAACATTCAAATCAGCTGTCAGAATCTAAAAATCAGGCAATTTCACATGAAATTCTGAAGTTAGGGTGTTGCCCTCCCACAGCGGTTCAGCTGTTGCCTCAGTGACAGGGGCGGGGCAGGAAGGGCCAGGCTGCAGTGTCAGCTTGTTGGGGGTGCTTCATGCGCGTGGAGCTCGCTGGACAAATACTCACTGAGCTGCGCAGAAGACACGTTGCCAACGGGACCCTAAGCCTGGCCTGCATCTGACACTAAACCCCAAACAATGCCCAGACCCCCAGTCCTGCTCCTACAGGAAGGGGCTTCGAAAGCTCTGTGGCCCCCAGAAGGTAAGCCCCCAATGCCCACCTTGGTGTGGCAGTTGAGGAATATGGACAAGGATGTTCAGTCCTCCCTGGGGGACACTGGACATGCAGGTTCCTCCCGGAGAGTAGACCTGGGGACGGCCAGGTGGGCTGCCCCAGGGAACCTGCTCCACTCCGCACGGGAGGCTTGGAAGCCTGCCCAGTGGGACTGATCACGGCCGTGGCTGGTAACTGCTGGGTGTTTCCTGGTGTCCCTTCTCTCACACAGGAGTCTTTATTGTGGCGTGCTCTTTCTCTGCTATCAGATGCTGGCGTGTGGGACAGAATCACAAGGTCACAAATCACAAAGAGTCCCATCAGGGCCTGATGGTGAGGATTGCACTTTGCCCAGAGACTCTGACCTCTGGGCTGGATGCTGTACCAGGAGGAGGCACAAGATTGCCCCCAGGGTCAGGGATGGGAGTGCTGTATGCATGCGAAGATGGGGTGCATAGATATTTGAAGGCAAAGAAGCATTATGTGGCAGAGACTGCTAGTTGCATACCCCATATCCATTCTCCCCATAGTCATAGAACCCTTGGTTTTTATCTTGGCACATGGACAACCAGAACTAAAGCTACATTTCCCAGCTTCCTTTACAGCAAGCAGTAACCATGTGTCTAAATCCCGCCAAGAAGACCTAGAAACACCATATTATAGCTCCAAGGAACCCCCTTAAAGATAGACAGCATTTGCTCTTTGCCCATCTTCCCACCTTCCTCTGTCCTGCTGCCTGGAATACAGGGTGATAACCAGTGCTCTAGCCTCCATTCTGGATCATGAGGAGGAGGGCCACACCCTAGAGATGGTAAAGCAGTGAGATGAAGAACCCCAGATTGCTAATGACCTCTTGAGCCACCATGTATCAGCTGCCAGCAGTTCACCTCTGGTCCACATGAGAGAGATAGAAACCTCTGTTTTCTTTAAATCACCATTATTTTGAGTTTTCTGCCATATGTGCCTAAACTAATCCTAACTTTTACCATGTGGTAATATTGGGCTCATACTCCTACACTGAGAACACCCTGGGGCTGGTCATTCTCTTTGTCAGAGAGAAACCTCCGGGGGCTGTGGGCTCTCCCCAGATGGCAGTCGTGTCCTTCCCTGCCCTCTCTGGTTTCCAGCTGGGCCCGAGTACGGCCTCCTCCTATTTCCCACGCCAGCTTTGTGCCCTCGGATTCTGGGCCCAGGCCCACAGCCCTCTGTGCAAGCTTTGTGCACCACGGTTTGAGATTGCAGCTTGCCAGGGTATGCCCTGCGTGACCCCACACCTCTCTCAGCTCCTGCCCTTTCCCTGTGACTGCTGAGTTGGAACTCCTCCTTCTAGAGCCCCCTGCCCGGGAGGCGTCACTCCTAGATGATGAGCCTCAAGACCATCATCTCTCTGAGTCTTTGAAAATCCATCTTCCTGAGGTCCAGGGACGCGTCAGAGCAAGTCAGGTGTCCACACCCTCATGCTCAGGGTCTTCACTCAATCACGGACACTCCCTTTTGTCTCTGTTCACCAGCCAGGTTCTTCCCACAGCTCTGAGCACAGCCCAGCAGTGGCCCCATTCACACCGGAACTGCCTCTGCTGCCCTTCTCTGCATCCAGCTAGTGAGGCCCTGCCTGCTCCTCCCAGCCCCTGGCCTCGCCCCTGTCTCCCTGAGCTGCTCCCTCCCCTGCAGTCAGTCTTCAGAGGGTAGACCTACCCTTACCCTGCCTGTTGTAATCCCTAAGGCCCACCTGGGGGTCTCCTCAACGCATGCAGAGCACACAGCCGCTAAGACACCCATGAGCCCTGCTCTGCACGGATGATTTCTCCAGGTTCATGGTACGTGTCTACAGAGGTCCTTGAGTGAAAGCAGTCTCCAAGTTCACTGCTCATCCCCTTTCTCCGGGTACTTGCAAATCCCAAGGGAAGGAGATGTCAGGGTCCCCCCACAGGCCTTCATGTGTCTACTCTGGGGATGGGGGTGGCTAGCAAGTCAGTTCCCCCTTCCTCTCTAGGGTGAGGGTTCAGGGAGCACTGGAGTTGCAGGACACATTTGGTACCTGGGGAGTGAAGGGGCCCTGCAACTTTCCTCTGGGCCTCTTGGACTTTGATGCCCTAGTCCATGCAATGAAGTCAGTTCAATAAGCCCAGGCTTGGTGTCTGCCTTTGCCAAGGTCTCCTTAGAAACAGCTATCTGCCCAGACCAGGAGGGCGTGGGCCACAGAAGGCAGACTGCAGCTCCCTGGGAAGCCCATAGCAAGCCTGTCCAGCCAGGAGGCAGGTGAGTGGAGGCTGGGGAACAGTGGGAGGCTGGCAGCCAGAAAGGACAGCTCCCCTCGGCGGCAATGCCCTGAGCCTCCAGGCAGAAGAGAGGGATTCCTGAGCTGGGGCCAAGGTCTCTTTCCCACTGGAAGACATGCAGGCTCCGCAGGGCTCAGAAGCTCAGGGCCAACCGACAGGAACCAGGCCCTGGCTCATTAGACAGAGTGAAATGGGAGCGGGACAGCAGCGCCGGGGAGCCAGGTGGCCTTGCAAATGAACTCCCTGCATACAAGTAGCTGATCGGTCAAATGCTGACAAGTTTATCGTGTAAGGCAGAAAATGAACTACACCCGAACTCACGCACCATGACTCTGGCCCAAATGTAATGGAAACACCGGGCGGTGGGTGGAGGCACACCGCGGAAGCCATTTGTCTTGTGACCTCCTCATCGAGCACATTGAAGCTGGCTTAATGTGGCAAATCAATCTTCCTCAAGGAACCCCCACTTAATAGTGAGAAATGGGAGCTGGGTAATAGGAAGAGCTTGCTTTGCCACCCACATCCGCCAGAGTAGACAGCTTTGGCAGTGCAGAAATTCCAGAGGCCATGAGACCTTCGAGGGCCCCGATGTTTCTGTCGGAGGCTGAAAACATTCAGACTATCACTCTGGTGAGCAAAGATGAAATGAACACTTAGCGCCTCTGCCACTGAAGAGCTGGAGATCTCACAGGTGCTTCCACCAGCCTGTACCTGTGTATGCGCACACACGGACACACCCCGACTGTGTCCACCTAGACAGACAGTCCTCTCTGGTCTAATTCCTGGGAAGCTGGCACAAGTCTTTAATGCCTCAGGTTTCCACTGTCCTGCTCGTCCTCCTCACGTGGACCCTGGAGATGGTGGCACTGGGTTCCTTCTGGGTGCTTAGAGTTTCTAAACCTTTGTCAATCCCATCTGAGCATCTTCCTTCCCCAAATGAAAGGGGTTTCTCTCCATTTGCGAGGGAAACCTGCCACCACACATCCCATATTCTTCCCTACTCTACGGCCTATAAAACCAAAAGCCAAATGCATTGCCATAAAGTCGATTCTGAGTCATGGCGTCCCGTGTGTTACAGACCACAACTGCTCCATAAGGTTTCGTTGGCTGTCGTCTTTACAGAAACAGATGGCCAGGCTTTTCTTTCATGGCACCACTGGGTGGGTTCAAACCACCAACCTTTAGGTTTGTAGCCAAGCACAAACCATTTGCACCACCTCAAGACCTTATGGAGCCCTGGCGGTGTAGTGGTTAAGAGCTACAGCTGCTAACCAAAAGGTCGGTAGTTCAAATCCACCAGTGGCTCGTTGGAAACCCTACAGGGCTACTCTGTACAATGGGGTCACTATGAGTTGGAATCAACTCAATGGCAATGAGTTTGTTTTTTTGAGTTTAGGGACCTTACGGCCTTTATACTCCCAGTTTCCAGAGGCTAAACCAACTGTGAGGATTCCAGCAAAAGTATTTGTGGTCCATAGAAACCTTGCTCTTGGAAATCAGAACTGATTTGGCATGAATTACAGAAGCCTCTTTTAAAGAACTCAAGAGGGAGGGTCTTCTGCTTCCTAGAAGATGAAGTAGACTTTTCCCTAATTCTCCCTCTACAAATCCTGCATCATATATAAAACAAATACAGGAAGACTCTGAAAAATGGAAAGAGGGAGGAGGACCAGTAGGGCTGTCAGGACTCAAGGAAAGACATGGTGGTGAGTTCCCTGGGGTTTCTTTTAGCCTCATATAACCCAGACTTGGAGCTGAAGAAGCCAGCAACACAGAGACACAAATGGGTGCAAACAAACAAAAAGCCCAAACAAAGAAAGCCCCAACAAAAGCATCCTCTCTCTAGCCAAAAGAACAGGAAAGGGACACCCTAGCAAGACAGAAAACTTTTAGATAAAAATCACTCTACTTCAATCAAACACCACAGATAAAACTGTGCCTCCC